GAAGCTGAGCTGTCATGCACCTGCCAAGCGGGACTCACAGATGAGGGTCAAACAGCAAAGGAGCCTCCATCCTGCCTAATGGATTTGCAGAGAGAAACAAGGACAGGGAGTGAAGGGCCAACCTGTTTTTTTTAAAAAAAATACAAACCTGTGTAAACAAACACCAACAGATAAACTTCCCCCTTTGTTAGGAGACGTGATTGCAGGCTAAACCTGACATTCTGGGCTGGCTAAGCCTTTCAAGGATTCCGTTTCACTCTGATACGGATGCTCAGGGGAAAGCTGCAGGGGATTCAGGGATTCAAAAGGCTCTCCTTTCTCTCTGCATGACTTTGCTGTCAGTCAGTTTGAATGCAAAATTGACATATGGTTTTTCTTCCCCTTCATAAGCCCTTGTGGAGGACCACAGGCTACTTGATGTGTGGAACACTTGGGCATTTGGGGGATGGTGATGCTTAGATCAAGGCTGTCTGTGTCTAGGGTTAGTCTCAATGGTTAATTAAAAGTAACACAAAATATTTTGTAGCTGTATCAGCCATGTTAAAAAAAGACCAGCTGTCAGAAATGGGCACTTTTCTTGATCCAAGTAGAAAAAATAAAGTTTATCCATTTCAGGAATATAAAGTTTTATTTCCACATTTTACTACCATAAGCACAAAAGAATTATGTTTATCCCAAGGCATTGCTTTCAAAGTAGAATTTCAACAAGTTATATTTGAACACTCCAGCTCTTTGTGACACCAACAGGATTAGAATTGACTCTGGAGCAGTCCACAGCCAAGTACCTTCTTTTTCCTCTCCCCAAGCCACCCTCCCTCTACCTCTTCCTTCTCGGCTTATTTTGTTCCTGAATTCAATTGGAGTTGTTAAAGTTGTTTGGAGGGGAATGTCAGCAGAGCTCGCCATCTTGTCTACCTTGATCCTCTCCAACACTCACCAGCCTGTATCTCCTTCATCTTTTATACTACAGGACCAGAAAGAGCTGGTCTGCTAGGAAGTCTTCCTTGAATTATACTGGATGTTAAACCATACATAAAACATACACATGGAGATATATATATATATATATATATATATATATATATATATGTGTGTGTGTAGTTGGTGTTCAGTCATTTCAGTCATGTCTGACTCTCCATGACCGCATTTTGGCATTTTGTTGGCAAAAATATTGTAGTGGTTTGCCGTTTCCTTCTCCAGCTCATTTGACAGGTGAGCAAACTGAGGCAGACAGGGTTAAGTGACTTGCTCAGTCACACAGCTAGTCAGTGTCTGCGGCCACATCTGAACTCAGGTCTTCCTGACTCCAGCCCTGGTGCTTTACTCACTGCACCCCTGGATGCCTATGTGTGTATATGCATACACATCTATACACACACATATATATTATTCATGAATATATGGAAAATGAGAATCATCTCTAGTGGAATCAACACTTAAGGAGAATAAACAGTTTCAGAGTTTTTTGAGGTTTAGAATTGGAAAGTATCTCATAGGTCACTTAATCTAAACTCCTCATTTTGTGATCTGGGTTCAGTCTCAACTTGACTATTTCTTACAGGCACTATTCTGGTCATGTTTCATCCCTGAAAATAGGGAAACACTTCCCTGCCCCTTCCCCCTCCTGCCACCCTTAGGGATGCTATGTAACTAAATGTAGCTTTAAGCACCATATCTTAAAAGAGAAGTACAGAGTAAAACCAAGGAAGTATCATCACTTACTAGGCAGCATTTATGATAAAAGACTAGAAGCTTGAATGTTTTGCTTATGAAACTGTGATGAATTTAACACCTTTGGGTATTCAAAAAAGGATGGCCTTCTTCTGTCTTATGCTTGGAATGAATTGGAACCTTCAAATAACTTTCATGTAGAATTATCTTTATGTACGTTGTTTGTTACTGCTATTTAGAGAAGAGTAGCAAGCATGCTTTGAATTTCTCCTTTGGGAATATTTAATTTCCATACCCTACTCTATCTATAAAACCTCCAGGACCTAATGGGCCATATGCACAGGGCTGCAGTTGCTTATATCCCATCCCAAGTCAAAGATACAGGATATGTGTGGAATTCCCAGGGTTCTGTTCATGAATTTGAGCTCTACTTAACTGGAAAATAGGTAAGTTAACTGTCAATGAAAACTATTCGTTTTAATGAGTTTCAAGCTACCCAGCCAAATCTCTCCCACCTAACCAGGATTCCAGACCACACCCAGACCATACGTAATGTCATGAATTTCTACTTTATTCTCAGTATCCATCAGTGTCCAATCGTGCGGGCCAATACAAGGATTTGATGGGCATTGCCCACCTCAAAGACTTCCAAAACAAGGATTACCAATTTTGAAAAGAAAAATCAACTTGATAAAGAGCAAGGTTAATTTAAACACGTTCCCTCCTTTTTTGCAATTCCCAGCAGTAAAAACCTTGTTATTTCAGCAACAGGTTCCAGAATTCTCCTTCATTAGTCACATCATTTGTAATCACAAGAAGGCAACATTGGCACCAAATGTCCCAAGCCACAGCCAAACACCTAATGTACTTCCATGGCATTGAACGCTACCACCACACAGAGCTGGGAGTTGTTTCTTAGAAATGTTTTGAAAACCCATTTTTGTCACCTAGTCTCCTCAGTGATGCTCCTTGTGCCCTAAGCTGTTTTACGTGGGCTTGATTTTGAAATGTTAAGTACACCATAGCCATCAGGTCAGAGGGAAAAAATGTCATCTCATCGCTTTATAAATCTGTTGCCACATTCCGATGTCCAGCTCAGCTTGTTGTAAAACCTTTCACAATGCCTCACCCAGGGTCTGAAAACAAACCAAACCCTCTCACCATGGCTTCAGAAGCTGCATTCCCTGAAGGGCTCTCAACAGGACTGAAAATGGGTCATCATTCTTTGAGGTTCGGGCCAGTCTTTGGCTGGTATCCTCCTCCTACTGAACTCTGCCCTTTACTGTTTGCAAAACAGGGCCTCACTACCAGTCTTCCGGACACAGGACACAGGTTTCTGTGAAGAAATGTTGGAGGAAATTTCTACAAGAAAATTACATTTCTTAAATAGCAAAACCCATAGATATGCGGATCACGAACTCAAAATGCTTGCTAATAGCCCAATGACCCTAAAAGGTCATAAATAAACCACAGCAGGGACTTGTAGCGTGACACTCACTAGCCTTGGATCAGTTAGACATAATGAATGATTTAACGAACAAAACGATTTTTTGCAATTTGAGTTAGGCTCACGGAAGGCAATGAGCATTGCTTTTACCTGTAATGCTGAAAAACATTGGAATGTAATGTTATTTCCTATTTGGCACAAATGAATTGATAACAAAATTTCTAATCACAATATTCCATTTGATTTTTTAAAAAATTCACTAGAAGTAAATAAATCACTTTTTGCTATTTGCTTTCTGGCTTCTTAGAAAATTTATCTTGAAAACTACCAAGAAGCAAAATTAGGTAATGAAACCCAGGAGGAAATAACATCTAGGTCTGGCATCTCAGCGGTCTTCCCGGTCACCTCTGAAGGGGAGGAGGAGGGAGCTGGAATGATGGCTGACTGGGGCCCAAGTTTCCACCCTCTGCTGGATCTATACGAAGCTCAGATGCTCCACCTGGAACCTTCCTGATAAAGGGAGACTCCAATACAAGCCATGTTCAGTTTGGAAGCCTGCCCGGCCAGGGTGTTGGTAGTTAAAGGGCCTGAAAGCTCCAGCTCAGCTTTCACCGGGTAAGTGCATTGCACGGCACGGTGGCCCCAGGGTACAGACACAACCCACACCAAAAAGCAGGCGGGCTGCAGCTGCATCTAGATTTGGCTGTTGCTGTGGACCCAGAGTCCTGTACAATTATTCCTTCTTCACGGTAGGAAGAACACTGTCTTTACTGGTATAGGTGGAATGATTAGCCTCAGCCCCAGCTCTGGGGACCGCCTTCTTTCTAATTTGCTGGGCTCATCCCACTGCTCCCTGCCCAGGACGGCTGCGCCCTAGGGGCCGAAGGTGCGGCCGTATTTCAGAAGCCAGATCTAAAGGTACCATGGGGAAGTACCCGAGTTCTCTCTGGTATGCACTGTCCTGGCAATCACCAAGGGGTAGCTTACATTTTGGGGACTTCCATTTTTGGAGAATTTGTATCAGGAAGGGAAGACTTTGTCCTCTGCAATATTTCATCATAGTGTAGTGTTTTTGACAACAGAGTATTGAAGGAAATCTGACTTAAGAGTGTTATCAAACTGCTGGGCAAACAGCCCGATGGGCAAATTCCATCCTTGCGGTCTACTTCAAATTCCTGGAGAAGAAAAACCAGCGACAACCTCGACAGTTGAGACGTGCTGACTGCTGACAGACCTCCCCAGGACAGCGGCAACGAACAGCAGAGAGAGCAGGCTCCTCACTCCAGGCAGTGACCAAACCTCACCGCGAGGCCATACGAGCCGTCTCCAACACTCAAAGCCTCCACAACCAGAACTCTGGCTGGGAATGCACCCCACACCACCGGGCTTTTAACCTGGTCTTCCTTAAAATATTATTTTTCCTCAGAATGCTTGAAGCGTCTGAACCGTGGGCTCATCACTCTAAGCCAATGCATAACATTTGTTTCACCTCTCGTCTGGGCTTTTACAGGTGCTCTGCTGGTGCAGCCTCATTATGACAGAGGGACGCTCCCCCCATCCCCGCTGATGTTTCCCATCTACAAAAACACAGTTCTTGGGAGTGCCCCCTTTAGTCAAGTCTCAGGGCATCAATTTGAAGGAGGAAAACTAGAAAAAAGAATGACCCAGGCCAAAGAAACCAGACAAACAAACAGAGGAGCGCTCTAAGTACCCAGATCCCTGTTATTGGCCATCTCACTCTGCAGAGTGTCAGGTGCTCCAAAGGCTCCTGGGACACGAAGCAGGAAGGAGAAAGGTGCTGTGGGCCCCAGTGAAAGAGGCAGCTTCTCACTGAGGGGATTTCTCTCAACACAAACGAAGCAAGAGAATTCTTGAATTGGTCTTTTTTTTTTTTTTGCTTTTAAGAAGAATCCTAGCTGGGAAGAGGCAGCTTTTCTTTATCCTCACTCAAATTCACTGTCATTTTGTATGCACACATTGTATAGGCATGTGCATGCACGCACATGCGTGCGCTTACACAGAGACATGCACACGCAGGCACACATGCGCACACAGAGACATGCACGCGTGCGCACACGCACACACACCACATACACAGGGAGCAAATCCACATTTCACATTTTATAGGTCTCTTCGATACTGCTTTTAAAGCCTGTCAACCCCACCCTGGTCTGTCCTCTATTTGGGTGGCTCAGGATTTTGAAACATTTTCAATGAAATCTCAGAGCAGAGAGCCTGAAAAAAAAATACAGAAGAAACACCATTTCCCTGGCTGGGCTGGAGAGCTCATTCTACCAGGGAAGGAAGAGGAATGAGAACTTCAGTCCACAGACTCTGCAGTTCCGCAGAGCTCCTCTTCAGTGGCAGCAGCGGGAGTCCTCTTCATTCTGAGGGCCTCCTCTCAGCCCCACCCCTGTCCCAAATATGAAAGTGCTTTCACGTTAACAACTGTTTAAAAAGGAGACCCCCAAGAACTTCTGCCTGGGATGTTCTATCACCAAATACCAAGCATATTTCCCATCCCTCAGCAGTTTCCAAAAATAAGTGAACACCACACTGCCCGGAAGGCAGGTCTTTTAAAAATTGTTTTGTTGTTATTTGAAGGGACCAAACTGGGAGAAAAAAAGAGGGAGAAATGAGAAGAACCCCTGAGGCAAAAATGGCTTTTTCTTTTCCCAGTCTCCCCGGGCCCTCACTTATGCCCTGGCTCACAAGGCTCCAGCCATCTTCTGGGGCGGAAGTCCTTCCTCCATCCAGAGGGAGGCCGCCGAGCTACTCCACGGCATGCGCCGGTGAATCCGCCGAAGCCGCAGCAGATAGAGCAGAATGGATAAGAGGACGACCAGGAAGCAGGCAGAGAACAGGTAGTGATTGTAGACGAAGGAGAAGCCTCGCCAGTGAGCGTGGCTGGCCCGGAAGTTCTCCTGCTGGATGTCTCTGCCAAAATGGAGGCGAAAAAAACCAGGAATCATCATCAAGGGAAAGAGAAGAGTAAGGTTAAATCACCCAATTAACTTATTCTGTAAAGATCTTAAAGACCTGCAACTCCACCCAGAGTCTGAAAAAAACAGCATCATGAAGAAATGATCCCTGAGGGCATCTGAGAGTATGCAGGAAGCCAACAATGAAGAATCCCACAGTACCAACCAAGCATTTTCTGCTCAGCTCCGATAAAAAACAGAACTGGACACTTGGTTTTACTTGAGGCAGAGGGTGAAAGGGGGTGGCAGACTGCAGCAGAAAGGGCACTGACTGGGGCGTCAAGAGGACCCAGAGCACATGTACATGAAGCACTTCACACACCTTCAAATCATGAAACATGCTGCTATTGTCAGCACCACCACGACACCAATCCTCTTGACCACGTGTGTGAGCCTGGGCAAATCCTTTCACATTCTGAGCCTGTTGCTTACTTTTAAAATGGGCATACTAAAGCTTACATCACCCTCCTCAAGGGGACGCCCTGCACAGACTGCTCTGCACACTCTCCATTACTACTGTGGTGAAATGTCTCTGCCCAATTTGGGAAGCCTGGGAGAGGCGGAGAAAAAGAAAGTGAATATCACAACAATTATTAATAATAATAACAACAACATTTATATAGGATCTACTATGTGCCAGGCTCCGAGCTAAGTGCTTTATGATTATTATCTCACTTGGTGCTGGTCAGCAGGTGCCATTATTACTCCCATTTTGCAGCTGAGGAAACTGAAGCAGTGGCAAAGTGACCTCCCCAGGGTCACACAGCTAGTTAAATGTCTAAGGCCAGATTCAAACTGAGGTCCTTCTGACTCCAGGTCCAAGGCTCTATCTACTGCACCACACACGCTCTTGAATTTAGGCCTTCTTAATCACACTAACAGCATGTAATCTGAGATATCCACTCCTGAGAAAAGGGGCCACAGTGGGAAGGGCCCCTGAGGAAATAAAACCAAAGGGGTGGTTTGTAGGCCCTTGGCTTTCCTGAGTGTTCTGGAACTTCGCGAAGCCCCACTCTGGGAGCTAGGGCCAGAGATTCAGAACAAAAGTCCTTGTTATTCTGGGGAGCACAGCCTCAGAACGAGGAGGCCCAGCTTAGGGGGTGTGGGCCTGGCCAAGCTTCAAAGGGTTACAGCAACAGAACATGGAGAGTGGAAGAGATTGCTGTATCAAAGACTGACCCAGCCAAGAGATGTAGTTTCAAGGCACCAGCAAGGTGAAAGATGAGCGGAATACAATGAGGTTAGAACATGGAGGCCATGGGGGCAGAGTAGGGAAGCCCAAAACCTGGGCCCCCAGGGAATCAGCTGTAGGCCCTCAAGACAGAGCTATGGGGAGGAGCTGGGGGAAGAGCAGCCTATTTTCTAGGCCCTGGTTCGTGGAATGAAGGTGGCAGCCTCTGCATGAACCCCAGACTCCTATCTGTCACCCTGAGGGCTGGAGAAGGTGATCAGGAAGGCCACAAAGGGCAGTCCCTCCCACTCACCTCTATACTCAAGGAACTAGTAAGTATCAAGCACTTTTGTCAAAAGACCAAGAACGGGAATAAGGGAATAGAAATCTCTTGATATAAAGTGAGCATTAAACACAGAAGGGTTTCTGGACTTTGGGAATCATTCGTGGAAAACAGTGTGGGGCGGTGGGAATGAGGAAGCCCTGTGCCCCAGCCCCACCTGCTGTCTGCTCTGGCTAGGGAGCTTCTCCCCTGGGGCTGGCCCTGTCCCTCTCCGCCATGCTTCTTTGGGATTCCACTGCAAAGGTCAAGTCTAAGGTCACACAACCTTTGTGGTGATGCTGCATCAGTGTCAGCCACATGACAGCCCTTCAGATACTTGAAGGCAGCTTCTGTCCCTCAAGTCTTCTCCTCAGTCTCCCTCCTTCTGATCCTCGTCTCGTCCCCATCCTGGCTGCCCTCCTCTCGACACTCTCTAGTTTACCCACGTCCTCGCCCTGACTCCATCTCTTCCAGGAGGCTGCCCCCGCCAACCATCCCTCACCTCCTCTCTCTGATGTTGGCACCAGACATGTTTACACTGTCTTCCCCCAGATGGTAAGCTCTTTGAGGGCAGGGACAGATTTCACATCTGTCTCTACCTTCCCAGCACACTATGTGATACACAGCAGATGCTTACTAATGGCTGGTCGACTGTCAGGGATGGCATCTGAACCTGGGTCATTCCCGACTCCTAGGTCTTCTGCACTACGCCAGGCTCTAATTAGCAGAAGCTGTCACCAGCTCTCATTTGCGTCAGTGGGAGTGAGCCCTGGGACTACAGGAATAAGTGGTCAGGTGGGGCTGCCCATTGCTCTCCCTGGGACCACACAGAACAAGGGGGGACAGATGTAGGTTGGTCTATTTACTCAGGGCAGTCAGGGAACCTCTGATGTGACAGGAAGCAGAGGTGAATGGTGAAGAAGGGAGGCAGAGAACCCAGGTAAAGTTGGTAGGGGGGGAGAATGGAGCTGCAGTTGGGCTCCTGAGTCTCCCCAGGGTAGGGCAATCTTGGAGGCCTGAGCTGTCCTGGGGCCCAGAACAGTTCCCCAGACTAATGAAGCCTAGAGCTGCCCAGCTGATTGGTCAGACTGAGCTCACTCACCTCCCATCCCAAGGGAAAGGGGGCTTGTTGGCAGATGTATAGACACCTTAGCAAGAGACTGTGGATAGCTAGCAGAGAGCTGAGAGTGAGCGTGGAAAGCAACATGACAGGTGCGAGGTAGCTGGCAGGAGGGGAAGAAGTCCACTGCTCAAGCCTGCCCAGGGCCAGCCACTTACAGACGCATCATAGGCCACCCTGCGAACCTGTGATCTCCAGATGCTGCAAGAACACTTCCCAAGAAACAGTTTTTTCTTTGTGTTCTCAACCTAACGGCAGAGAAGCAGTCTTCCCACATCTCAATTACGTGCCTACCTCAAAGGTAAAAACCGGGTTCTGTAGAGGATTGCTCCCAGCGTCCACTGCACTTCCTTGTCGTAAACCTGCAAGGCCGTCTTTAAATTGCTATAGTTAACTGGAAATGAGAAGCCTCTGTGAAACACCTCATACATCCAGGCGGATTTAAAGCACTGATACCTGCGAGTCAAAAGAAGAAACAAGATTACGTTGGATTGGTTTATCAGAGACAGGAAGCAAACTGCGAGGAGCCAGGTTAGCACTCTGCCAGGCAGCCAGGCAGGCTCAGAAACCCAAAGGCCTCGTCAGCTCTGTTAAACGATGAAATCCAAAGCTCTCTGGACTGTTTATCTGTACGACAGAGATGTTCTCACTCAGTGTGGTTCAACAAGCCACCCCCCAGATCAGCTCCTGCCTGTGTCCCGATGGAGGCCGTCCACACACACATCCCTGGTAAGGAAGCACTGAGCTCCTGCACAATGTCTCCAATGAGCAGGCCTCACTCCCGACCCAGCCAGGCCCCTCTCATTCCAAGCAATCCTTCCTGATGTGGAGGGGGGACTGAATTTATCCCCAACATGAAAATGCTCTGCCTATTTAAACCTGGGCTTCTCTACTCACTTCAGCCTATGGAGGTCAGCATGAGACGCATAAAGTCCCTGGTCAAAGCGTTCCCGCAAGATGGACCACTTTGTTGCACAATAATCCTAAAGGAAATCCATTAGAAAGACTCAGCTGACATTTGCCCCCAAAACCTACACCATACACCCAAAGCCTGCCTACGAGCCCTCTCTTCAACGAACTCTTGGAACCTGGCTAAGGAGTGTACTGTATAGTATAAAACCAGCCTCTCTGAACTGGGTTTTGGCTCCCTCAGAAGGCCCCAGAAGCATCCCAGGCTAAAATGAAGCATACTCTTTCTTGCTTCCCGCTAGGTCCTCCCCCGAGCTTCACAGCCCCCTCCCCACAGACCTGCCCCAGCAGCAGCAGCCCATGCTGGCTGGCTGGCTCTCAGAATACAAGGAACAGGCCCTTCTAAATCCATTACCTTGGCAGCTTTACTAAACTTAGCAGCATTGTAATCTCCCCCCATTCTTAACACATCCTCAGTGCAATAGTAGAATTCTGAAAAGCCATAGAATTCGCTGTTGTCAAAGTGAATCGGAGGCTGATAGACCCCGCTGAGGGAGGTCTGGGTCTCATTTGTTTTGTTCATGAAAGGCTGCAGAGTCTTCCGGCATAGGGTGAAGTCTCCAGTGCCCCGGAGGTACATGGTCTGCCCATTCTGCTGAATTTCATCGTGAATGTCTAAGGGTAGGCAAGGGTCCAGATACGGAGTGTCAGAAGTTAGACCCGTCTGCTTACTCAGGAGCCTGTAAAAAAGAAACATCAACGATGAAATCTGCACAATTACAGAAAAGAGTTAAAATTCACATTACACAGTGCTCTAAGTCTGACAACAAGTTTTCCTGGAAATGACTGGAATCAATGAACGAAAATGCATTTATTAAGCATTTCCTATGTGCCAGGCACTGTGTGAGCATTGTTATCTCCACATATGCAGATGCATGTCTGACAAAACAGCTAGTGAAGGAAAGGGCTGGCGTCAATCCAGAACTTCAGGCTCAGTGTTTCACTACCCCACACACCGGTGACATTTGGTCCATAACTAGTAATCAAATCTCTGGGCAACTTCAGAGCTGAGCCGCTAACACCAGTAAATCTGGCTCTTCTTACATCTGCTCCTTGTCCCTTCTGGCCACTTATAAACGCAGAGGAAATTGTTAAGAAGCGTTCACAAATGTCAATCTGAATATTTCACATTACCCTTGGGGGAGGATTTATGGGAGGCCCTGCATAAGAATCACAGTGTGGATGGGTTGCTGCCAGCAATGCTGGAAGGCATTGCCACTTCAAGAAGATCCCCTATCCGTCCAAGTAACAAAGTACAACATTCAGCCCCAAACCAAACCAAACCACTATACACCACATATAACTTCAGCTGCCCTACATCTAAATTAAAGAGTACCACTGGCCCATTCACCAAACACACCAAATCACCTTTCGGGACCTTCAAACAAGCCAAGTTTGCCAATTCTTCTGAGTCCTCTGGATCTCTCTGCCCTTTGTTGGAATGTATCCTTCTCCACAGCTCTGAGGTATCTCACCTAAGCCTACTGGTAATTACAGACTCGTGCTGACTTAGACTGACTTTCTGCAACATCTTTACTACATTGGTAATTAACAGCAGTCAAGCTCCATAACCAACAGATAACACCAGCGGGCTGAAAAGGCCACGGGACGCTCTCCTGTGCGCTTCCGATCACACGGTGCGCCTGCCCTCAGGGACTTTAATCATCAATGGGACTGATGCACAGAAATGCAATCTGAGAATGTACCGGGAGGACGCGCATGCTGATCTCCTTTGGCTTTGGAAGGGCACAGGAGAGGATCTTAACCAACTGAACACCCACAATTTCCTGTGTCAACTAAGAGAATCCCTTGGAGCTGACATCAACAGCTGCCCCTGAGGGCTGGGGGACATGGGTGGGGGAGGGAGACGGAGAGCAGAGCACACAGACAAGCAGCAGATCAACAACTGCAGGGAATCTGACCACGGCCTGCCTGGTGACCACATGCTGGCCTCCAAACACAGCCCCAGACATATGCCGGAGGTGGAGGCTCCACAGAAATAAAACTACAGTTCTGACACATACCCACACCCCCTCACACACAGTCACACTCTCTCTCTCACTCCCTCACGCATACACACACACACTCATACATACATTCTCACTCTCACATAAACATACATTCTCACACACATTCTCATACACACACACACACACACACCCATACATTCTCACACTCACACACTCATACATTCTCACTCTCACATAAACATACATTCTCACACACACATTCTCATACACACACACACACACACACATTCTCATACACACACACCCCCATACATTCTCACACTCACACATACATATACACACACATTCTCATACACACACACACGCACACACATTCACACACACTCACATACACATACATTCTCACACACTCTCTCACACACACATACCACTCCCCCCACCCCCTTATATCCATTGTGTTAATTGAGCCTTCCTCTTTTGTCTGGCTATTTTTTCACGACCAAAGAGCCAGGTTCCTGGGTCTGAAGCCAGTGCTAGGCACAGAGTCTCATACCTGTTCTTTAGCATGGTGTTGGCAAATATGCTGTCTTCATACCTCTGCCGGGCTGCATTGCCACCAAAGCCAAGGAAGGTGGCTACGTATACTCTGTATACATGCTCAGTTCGATGAACATCACAGCCCAGGTTAAATTCAGCAAGCAAATTTTTGGCTACTTCTTCCTGGAAGCACAAGGATAAAAAAAATCTTACCACCAAGCATAACAAACCAAGACAAAGCATCTAATGTTTAGTTTGTTTTTTATTCTTTGCTCTGAAGGAAATATCCCTTTAGAACAAAAGGCCCTCAGACTGTCTTCCCTCCCCAGGGTGATGCTTCAGGCTTCATGGTTCACAGAGCTACCGTCTAGCATCAAATGCAGGAAGCAGTGCCTCAGGAGCCCTGGCCAGCTGCTACCATGGGAACCATGGGCTGAGAGAGAGGGAGATGTGTGTGTGTGTGTGTGTGTGTGTGTACATATATCTAGATATACATATATGTGCATGTGTACACACACACACACACACACACACACAGGTTTATAGTCTCAAAACAGATAACTCCTGGCGAGGGATGGGGAAGGGCCACCTTGTGACACCTAGATTTCTCTGGCGCCTTTCACTCAAGAAGCTCAAAGCATTTTACGGGTTCTGTTCTAAGAAAAGATAACCTAAGCTCTCCTCATTAATAGTCAGAGAAATCTAGCCGTCAAGCTGTGTAGCAATGCAGCTACAGATCTGAACACAAAGACAGGTTTCCTCATTTCTGGCCAGTGCGCTCTCCAAGACCCTGCCATTTTGCTGCCTAATGGGAAAACAGCAAGCAGGGACCAAGAGAGCTCCAAAGGATGTAAACAGAGTGGAAAGATGTCATAAACCACAAATTAAGACTTTCTCAGGCCCTGATGTAAACCCTAAGACTTTTCTGAGAAAGCAAGAAGTTGTCTAAGGCACAACCAATACAAGTCTTTCCCATTCATATTATTGGATTAAATTTATCATGACTTGTTTTATGATGGCATTTGGAAAAAAAAAAAGCTTTATAGTACCTGTTGAAAAAAATATAACTGAAGACAAAAAAACCCCCCAAAACACCAAGAGCCCCAAAACCCAAACCAAGTATTCCTTGACATCTCTAAGTAAAGGGCTAATCAAGGTTAGCAAAACAAACCAGCTGACTTCAATGACCAAACCCAGACAGCTGAGCTGAGATGAGCCTCGTTCGCCTCCCGGCTCCTTTCTCCTGGGTTTGGCGAGGTAGCACCCCAATAGGCACAGTAATGATGCTTTAAGACTCAGAAAACAAAACAAAAATGGATGGAGACATGTTAAATGAAAATCAAACCAAACAGAAAGAAATCTGTACAGATAATAACCTGCTGTGAGGAGGCAAAGCTTACACTTTTGGGGACTTCATACGCTATCTGGGTAGACACTCCGCCCATGTCCAGAATACCCGCTGTCCTTTTGCGGACAATAGCTGCTTGGCTCTCGCCCCCAGGAACGTTCACTTCCACCACTGCCTCATCATCTGGAAAACAGGCAGGAGACCTTCCTTGGGACAAACTATCCCTTGGACCTGGGGTCTTGTCAAGAGACTCATTTTGTAGTCGTGATTAATTTAAAGTGGATATAGTCAAATTGGCCTACCGATAAAAGCCAAACCTCCTCCATAATTCGGTCTAATTTAGTTAGTTAAATAACCACGTGACTCCTATATGGAAATGTACCAAGAAGTTTATTTGTAAAAACTGGGTCAGAAGTTTAGCTAAAACAAATTCTAACTCCAAATTAAAAAAAAAACACCTTTTTTTTTATTAAATAGAAATCATTATAATTTCCCAACCAACAGACCTGATTTAATCATTTTAGCTCTCACACTCACCATCTTCAATGTGCTCAAATCGCCCGAGGACAAAGTTAATGCCAATCCAAGCATAGACACCTAGGGGCATAAACAAATGCCAAAGTTTTAGAAATGTGTGCCTGGCGAAGTTCTGTCTGTAGGACAGGCATTGCATCCTACCTTAATCTGCACAAACACACTGCCTAGAAGCACTTTCAGGAAGACCACAGAAAACTGGTTTTGTTCTTGAATCAAACTGTGATCGAGTCCCCTGGCGGGTGCCGTGGACAGCACAAGAGAAGCTCCTCCCTCCGGCCCTCGTTCACGGCAGCCTTGCAGCACAAGGGACCAGGACGATCCGGGCTCAACGCCCGCCTTGAACACTTACTAGCAATGTGATCACGGGCAAATCTCCTGAGCTCTTCGAGCCTACAAGTCCTCGCCTATAAAAAGGGGGCATGATACTGGAAGGCCCCAACCTCACAGGGCTGCTCAAACAAGGTAATGTATTTTGCAAGCTTTAAAGCATTATGTGAATGTCAGTCATCTCATGGCGGAGGAGCTAGCAAATGAAAAATAAAACAGTATGTGGGACGACACTAAAGACAACCCAAAACAATTCCCTGTGGCAATGCGGGGGGGGGGGGGCCTGGCATCAAACACCCAAGAAGCCCTCCTTCCACAATGCTCCTGCCTAGTCTGTCTGGAGCAACGGGGTAAGCTTAATCAGACCCACTGTCCTGATGGTTACCATTCCCTCGGGACTTGAAGGCAATGGGCGAGCAGCAGGCCCTCTAAAGCTCAGAGACAGGTCATCACTCATCACTGGGGGCCAGCCTCTCTGGGGTCAGGGGCCTTCTGTACTCAGCAGAAGCTGATCCTCTGCTGATGGTCAGGCCTAGGCAGGCCTGTTGCTGTCTGTCACTGGGCCTGACCTCCAAGCCCTTCTAACCACTCAGAAACTGGTCCAGCCTGGCAAATTCAGGGTCCCCTCCATACCACGATGAAGCACTGGTGTAACAGCACATTAAGAGAACTAAGGAATACTTACAATTAAGTTTTTAAAAAATCTTAACAGGCTCCTATTTTTATCACATTTTTCCCTTCAAGCAACATTACTTCCTTCATATACAAATTCAGAAAAAAATTTGTTCTTTATGATCAAAATTATATTTTCTTTCAAAAGTAACACACGTGGAGAAAGGGAGAGAGAAATGGAAGATGTGGAGGGAGGGAGGCACCGGTCAGAGTGTTGGTAAGAGAAGAAGTAAAGAAAAAGAGGGTCACTGAAGCATTTTTAAAAAGTACTGAAGGGAACAGCACAAGTTCAAAAGGAAACACCAACAAATGAGACAGCTTTGAAAGTTACACGGCAAAGCTCCACGTTCTCTTGAAGCAAAAGGTGCACTACAGAGCTGTGCGGTTTTACGCATCATTCTCTAGTTCTGTTCTGACTTTCTACATGGCAATGTTCTGTGTCTCTGGTGTTTGTTTAATTCAGGATACAAAGAGAGACGCGACTTTGTGAACCTTTGGTTCTAAAAGGGAGCAGACAGAAGGGAAAACACGGTAATTATGAGCCTCAGTGTCAATGTGGAAGCACTCTGAGGGGTTAAAAGAACAAATTACACTTGTGGCCATAAACAGTCTATGACACAGGCACAGACTGACCCTTCAGCCACCCATCGGCCAAACTCTCTGGCTTCTGCTAAGAAGTCTACACAATACACTACCACTTTGTATGAAAAGTGTTTGCGGTTCCATTTCATCCTAACATGTAATTTTTCCTAGTTCTCTCAAAATGGCTGTTACTGTTCCAATGACTCCGCTTCTCCCTTGGAGCTCAGAGAACCTTCCAGAAGCTACCAGGGAGGCTCCAGAGAGGAGGCCTGTGGGAACTGTCTGTCATAAGTCTGGACAGCTATAGCTCATTCCTCTGTTCAAATCGACCTGAAACAGATTTCCCAAGTGGCTCCTGTGGAGAAACAAAGTAAGTGTTTCCCAGGGCTGAGTGCCTGGGTAACACGATGGTTCATCTGGCTAGAGCGAAAGTGTCTGTTGGGAAGTAGGCAGCGGTTTCCCCAATATTAAGATGGGGATGGTCACATTCGGGGGCTACCACGAAGAGTAAGTGTGCTGAGTGCAGAGCTGCCCAAACCTCATGCTGCTGATGACACAAAGCGATCATGAGGCTGATCGAAAACTGACCTTCTTGTTTCCCTGAAATAACCTCGGCATGCGAGTCAGAGAACAGAAAGTCAAAGTGTGCTGGGACGTCTGTCAGAAGATCTTCCAATATGGCTTTTTGCTGACTGAAAAGAGAAGCCGGATAATGCCGTAAGAGGAAACACACGTTCAGGGCACATCCCACCCAAGACCCCCACAGCATCTCAGAGAGGCCCACGAGGCCAGCCCCTGCCTTCATCCGAGGCCCCTGAGTCAGCAAAGGTCCACTGCCCACCCTGAAGGGCAGCTCCCCTCACACAAGGTTGCCTTAACTCTGATGATGCTGCTCTGCGATTTTTACCCACCACTCCTAGGCCTGTCCTGGGGCCAAACAACACATCTAGACCCCTTCCGTGAGATCATCCTTCAAATACTAGAAGACTGCTAACGTTTCCCCTCAAGAAAGTTATCAAAACAACCCTCAAGTCTTTGCCAGCATGAACACCTTCAGCCCCTTCAATGTCGTGGTTATTCTCCATCTCAAACTAAAATTCAGGACCCGAAACTAAACAGAATAATCTAGATCAAAGGTTCTAAAAGTGAATACTGATAGCTAAAAACAATCCAATTTAATGCTCTTTAAGATAAGAATTTTTAGGTTGACTTGGTGGTACCATAGTGACAGACAGAGGTATAGTATCAAAATTTCCCAGAGCTAAAGCAGGCAAAAGGTGAATTTTTAATTTCTTTTCCCACAAACTAAAATAAAAGACTCTCCCTCCCCGCCCTTTATCTAACATCTGTCCCTCTGAGACTGAGGGCCACTGAGAATGCAAGCATTTCCCATGAACTTATTATTATTATTATTATTATTTTTTTGGTGAGGCAATTGGGGTTATGTGACTTGCCCAGGGTCACACAGCTAGTGAGTGTTATGTGTCTGAGGCCAGATCTGAACTCAGGCCCTCCTGACTCCAGGGCTGGTACTCTATCCACTGCACCACCTAGCTGCCTCTTCCCATGAACCTATAAACAACATTTTTACTCCCCTCTCCTTCCCCCAACACACACACCGACAGTTACCTTTCTGGAAGGATTCTCATCCCGGCTGTACAGAGGATATAGAGAGGGGTCTCTTTATGTTTTGCCCGTGGCACATGCTCTGCAGCAAAACTCAGAAGTGGAGAAATATAATCACTGACTTTTTCTGGAGAGGCAGCAAACTCGGATATGCCTGGAGAAACAGAGAACCTCAGTGAGCAGCAGAAGTTCCAGCTGAGAGGGTCAGACAGGCTCATCTTGCCAACATTCTGGCTGCAAAAAGCCATTTCTTTACAGGCATCACTTAGAATCCCAGAGCAGGTAGCCAGGTGGTACTGTAGTGCACAGAGCACCAGGCCTGAAGTCAGGAAGACGCCTCTTTCTGAGCTCAGATCTGGCCTCAGACACTTACTAGCCAAGTGACCCCGGGCAAATCACTTCATCCTGTTTGCCTCAGTTTCCTTATCTGTAAAATGAGCCAGAGAAGAAAATGGCAAACCACTCCAGTATCTCTGCCAAGAAAACTCCACATGGGGTTATGAACAGTCAGACACAACTGAAAACAACCAAACACCACCACCAACATCACAGTGTCAAAACCAGAAATGACGTCCAAAATAGTTTTGTCCAAAACCCTTATTGTACAAATGAGAAAACAGGCCTCGTGTGACTTGCCCATGGTCACAGCCAGTTGAACCGAACAGGGAATACAACTACAGCCTTGCCTGCAGGCCACTGAGGTATCTACTAGGTCACACCCCCTCCAAGTGTGGCAGCTGCTGTCGGAGAGCCAATGACACCAGAGAGGTGCTAGGATGCTCTGGTCCGGAGGCTTGGGCTCCAGGGACTCTAGGAAAATATCCCTAACAGTTTGAGCTACACCAAAGAGGAATGAGCTGCACGTGGCTTCCCCCTCACTTAAAGACTTCACGCCAAGGCTGGACGGTCCATTTTGGCGAGCATCTTGTAGAATGGATTCAAGAGACAGGGCGGGCCAAAGGGCATGTGAGATCCTTTCTAACCGAGATTCAGAACCGTAAGAACCTTATGGACTCAGGCAAACAACCTAAGAGAGGTTTTATAAATGTAAGAATCAGAAACAGGTTCTGCCTAGAAATTACCTAGTGCTTCTCTGGCTGCCGAGGGATAAGCTGGAACTGATGTTGGCTCTTGATTTCTTCTGTTATTAAGGGAATACGCTGCCTTTCTAAGAGAACAAAACTCCTGTTACCTCTTACTCCTCCAATCCCAGGAGACAGAATCCCAAACTCTTTACTTGGCTACTGCTTCCCATCTCTGCTAGACGTTCCCCGGGGCCCTGTCCAGACATTCCCTGTGCAGCCGTCGCTCAGCAAACCTTCCTCTTTGACATTCTGGGGACAGCACCTAATTCAGAGTCCGGGGGCAGCTGTCTGCTGGATACCACTCATTGGGTATACTACAATGAGGATTCCTTTCCTGTCTGGATTGGGCTGGATGGCCACTGGGGGCCCTTCCAAACCTCCAATTCTATGGATCTATGAAGCTTGGATCATCACAGCAGTCTCCCAATTGGCCTGCCGGTTTCCACTCTCTCTCCCTTTCCAATCTATTTTCCACAGCTGCCAAAGTGATATTCCTAAGGCAAATATCTGACCAGGTCACTTCCCCTCCCCCCTCAACTCCAGTGGCTTCCCTACTGCTTCTAGGATCAAGTACAAACTTCTCCATTCCACGCTTAGAGCCCTTCATCACACAGCTCCAGCTTGGTCTCCTGCCCCTCCCCCAATCCACAGTAACTTTACTGTGACAGAAAGCAGAGCAAGGCCGCTCTGTTCACAAGGTTCTCTTTTGTTAAGAGTGGATTCTGCAGTCAGCCCGCAGCAGAGAGAAGCTCCGAATCTTCACCTCTTAGGACGACCTCATGCAGACACTCATGTGCTGAAGCAGGCCACTGCCCAGTCACACCAAGGCCATTTGTCTGGGCAGAGGCAGAAAGGAGGACAATTAAAAAGTGACAATCATGCCTATGTACAAGCAGTTGTTTTACACGGTGACTTCCCTCCTCCTCAGTGGGAACAAGGGTGCTGAGCAGCTAGCCCGGGACTTCTGAATCCCTGACAACAGGTTCTGGTGCTTACTTCTGGTAGTGACTGCACTGGCTGGTCAGGAGGATAGGAGAGAACTAGAAAAAATTTCCAAAAACAAGAAATCACCCATTGGGTATCTGCTCCCTGTGGAGGCACACATCAAGTGACACACGAATTTGAGGCCCAGAAGTCTGCTGCCTGAGTGAGCCCAGGACAGAACGTCAAGGCCTTCCTCCTCACCAGGGATGTGGCTGCTGAGCGTCGGAATGAGGCAGAGCTGAGCCTTGTTCTGTCCCTTTGCACTGGAGCCTCGGATGGAGCCACAGCCGGCAAAATTCAGAGGAAGTGAGGAGCCCTCCCTCCTCACCCTGAGTCTCTCTCAGACTCTGAAGGGGTACGGGGAGCGAGGCGTGGGACCATGGGGACCTGGCTGTAGCGGGGTATGGTTGAAACTATAAGTACAGTCTAAATACTTTGCCCTCCTCTATCCTTTGTGGAAAAAAATGAATGGAGAACATGTTCACGTGTTCAATGACGTTCTCAGATGTCAAAGCATCCGCACCCTGATGTAAAGAGTTTGAAGATTAATTCAAGACAGGATGTGAAACCAGGGCAGATCAGGATCCCTGGGCCAAAGGAGGAAAACAGCCATAAAAGGGGAAAAGGAGGAGAAATATGTCAGAGTTAGTCAAGAGGGACCTTTTCTTCTGTTTTTTCTTAAAGCCAAGAAGAGGGAAAGGCTTTAGTCTCCTGTTGCATCAGAGCAGGATCTGTGATTTCCACAAAAGGAAGTTTGCAATACATGTTCCATCAGTAACAGGAAGCAACTTAGAGGCAGGCTGTTAATACCTTGGAATCACTGCACGGGCTTTCTCCAGAAGCCCTGAGCGTCACATGGGGAAAAAACTATTTGTGGCCTTGACTGAAGCACTTGCACATGATAATGTAATGCCAGGGGGCTAAAAGTGAGTGTGTGTGTGTGGGGAATCTGGTTTCCAACCCACTTTCAGCCTCATCACACACCACTGGCCTTCACACACAACACGCCGTCTCCTCAGAAGAGGCCCTGGCTTCCGCCTTTCCGGAGACAAGCCGTGCTGCAAGGCCTCTGCCATAGAGTGCCCCTGTATTTTTTTGTATCTAGTTACGTATGAAGGTTTGTCTTCCCAATAGACTGTATGCTCCCTGAGGCAGGCACTGTTTCATTTCTGTCTCTGTACCCCCAGGGCCTAGTATACAGTAGGTGCTTTAATAAATGCTGGAAGTTACAAAATGATTTTTATATGTAAATGCTGGCGCAGCTAGGTGGCACAGTGGATAGAGTCAGGAGGACCTCAGGCACTTAACCCTTACTGGTCTTGTGATCCTGGGCAAGTCACTTAACACCGATTGTCTCACAGGAAAAAAAAAAAAAGGAAATGTTGACTGTGCAGCCTCTCTTCACACACCTCTGATAGAGGGGCATAACTGAATGCCCTTCTATGTAGTTGAGAGGATGCAAAGCAGGCCTCCGACCCAGAACACCTGGGTTCAAGTTCTGCTCTCCTGGTCAGGGGACCAGCAGCAAGCCCTTCAGCTGCTCCATGGAGGCCTGCATTGCTACAATTTTCTTTTCTTTTTTCTTTTTTTTCCTTTTTGGTGAGGCAACCCTGATTGCCTTAAGTGACTTGTCCAGGGTCACACAGCTGGTAAGTGTCATATATCTGAGACTGGATATGAACCTAGGTCCTCCTGACTGCAGGTCTATCCACAGCACCAACTGGCTGCTCCCAGAATTTTCTTAAAAAGAAGTTCCCTATGGTAACGAAATCACAGGACCAATACCCATCTTATTACGTAATCAACATTCAGGAAATTTGGGGGATTTGGGCTTATAAACTTGCTTGGATGGTTGTAAGTGAAGACCGTTTAAATGATGTAGGATAAAAATATAAAACTGCTTTCCACTTTAAAGAACCAGTCTATCAAAATACAATAAACAATGACATTACACAGTGGATGAAGCACATTTTAATTCTTACATATCATCTAACTTGGACAAGATCAATTTTTCTGCAAGACAGAAATATGCACATCAGCTCTCCTAAGCTCTCAGGTCAGTCATATCATATGGTTCATAACAGATCTGATCACAAAGACATTCATCATCACCCATCTCTTACACCCCCCAAAAAAAACAAATGTTTCCTAGGATCAGACCCCATTTTTAAAGCATTTGAAATTTCCATTTGTTATTAACAATGGGGACAGATAACCAAACAGCAAAATACTCTGATAATTTATCAACCAACAGATGTAGACTGGACATGACTATGTAGCAGGCATCATGCTAAAAAGTGTGGGAGAAAACAAACCAAAGGCATGCCAGAGGCCTCATTTTCTGTTGATTAATAATTTAGAAGGGAGTGAGTGAGACAGACACATGAGAGGATGGCTCAGAAACATAAGAGAGGGTGGGACAGGCAGGTGCCCCATGAGAGGTCCAACAGGCCTAAAGAGGTTAGCGCTGCTGCTGCTAGCATTACTTTGGCATGTCAGGGACTGCAGAGCTCGATGGCAGGAAGGGCCTCCTTGTCAAAGAGGAGAGCTAAAGCTGGTCCTGGCAGACGGCTTTGGCATCACCCAGAGAGAAGCAGCAAGGGGAAATGCAGGCCTGGGCAGAACATGTTCAGAGGATAGACAGCCGACTAGCCTGCCCGAAACACAAGGTTTATGTAGAGGAGGAGGAGGAGGAGAAGGAGGAGCTAAGCTTGGAAAGCTAGGCCAGAGAGAAATGGTATAAGGACTTGAATGTCAGGTCAGGGACCTTACTTTCTATGGCAGAATCCCCAAAGGTTTTGGGAAGGGCCTCTATTTTTCATTTTCCTAAAGTCTTGAAACTGAGGGAACATGGTAGGGTAGGAAGAAGAGAAGGGGAGACACACTAGTGAAGACTCCGAGGGGACTAACGAGGGAGCCAAAGGTCACGTGCAGAGAAAAAGAGGGACATAGGCCCTTCTCCCCTGGGACTCCTGGCAAACTATGAGACAGGGAATATATTGAACAGAAAGGCGTGGGAGGAGCAAACGGCTCAGAGCACTACGAGGTGAAGTTTTGTGCTCTACTGGAAAACTCTGAACTACCTGCTCTGCTCACTGAGAAATAAAAGGTCTGTAGGAAAACAGTGCTTGAGGAAGATGAGTGTCCCATCAGTGCGCACGAGCACCTGTACGGGGGGAGAACGAATGAGCCTGGCGAGGAGGTCACAAGAGCACAGACCGGAGGCGTGAGCGCCTGAATCGAGATGGAAAAGCCAAGGCGTTACAAAAGAACCGACATAACACTCACCACCCACATACCTGGCTTTATTTTCATGACCACTGGCTTCCGGGTTTTGTCCCTCATTTGTCTGATATCCAACAGATCATGAGGATTGCCATTGTGGCGGGGCCAGCAATAGACAAAAATCCGAGATCCACTGCTCCCGCAGTCCACCACGATGCCATAATTGATGTGGGGGTTGTTGGTGTCAGTAGCTTCAACGTCTGTCACTCGGGCCAGATACCTAGCAGGAGAAAATCAATGGGCACTTTGGATCTTAAAAAGTACACCTTAAATCCAGTAAGGAATATTCTATCAATAGCAGTCATTATGCCCGATGAACTTTTACGCTGTGCAATAATATCACTATGACATTTTATACTACTTGTCAAATAATTCAAGTTGACAGAAAAGAAAACAAGGAATGGTGATGATCCTCTAAACCAGACGTGTCGCTCCTAACAAAACTGGCCTTAACCACTTGAAGTTCAAAAAGACAAAAGTTCTTGCTTTTAAAGCTAGTAAAATATCAACTTTAATTAAAAAAACAGCATGGCCACAGATGAAGTCTGGTTTAAATGATCTCTCCAAGAGATCTCTTTGGCATGACCTGTGCCTGCAGACAATATAACATGTTTGGGATCATCACCCTTTCCTGGGCCAAGTTGGCTTATTAAGGAGTCCAAGGCACATCTTATACTGAACCCAAACCCCGTTTTAGCCATGAAGTAAGATCCTTCCAGCCCATTGTGAAGGTTCTCACCTGTGAAACTTCTTATCCCGGGATAAGCGCCCATACTTATGTCGGATTATGATGACAGAGAAATACAACAAGGAAACGGCGGCAGCCAGGATGCCAACGACCACAATCTGGCGTAGGTTGGTGTTCAGAATTCTAGGGCACCCCACTGGGGAGATGCTAAAATGCCAGGATGCGGGAAACAGGCAGGAGACGCTGATCCTGAAATTCAGAGGGCATACAGGTCAAAGCAGACTCTCTTAGCACCCAAAGGGACCCAGTGAGGCCAGTCATTCCCATAGTTCTTTCTGAGCTGCTTCCATTTCCTAACCATGTGTTTGTGCAATAACATTTTCATCGTGTTAGTTTTGTTCAATATGATATCCTTGGTATTAAAGCCATTCCACTAGAGCACTGTCACATTTTCAAAATGTTTTAGGATATTCTAAATTTGAAAAAACACTGACAAACAAACATTCCCACATAAGAAGAAATGAAAAGGGACAGTCTCTGAAATTGCTCATCTGTGTTACATACAGCCTGAATTTAAAAAAAATGTAATAAATTCACCACATTAGTTTCAAAGGTGTCCTGCTTTCTATGTTTCTCTCAGACATTCGTTCTGTGTTCTTCTGGGCCTTTAATAAAATACTCCAAATGACATTCCTATTTCTCGTCTTCTTTTGTCGCATCATTCTTCCTAACCACCCTCTCTGCCTCAATCTCACCCCCACCTTCCCCAAAGAATCCAAATAAAAACAAAACCTCTCCCTTGTAACAAATAAACACAGTGCCCTCTCTGCCAGGAGGTGGGGGGAGGCTTCACCCTCGGCCCTCTGCAGTCACGGTCACTCAGAGCTTTCAAAGTTCTTTCTCCCGTATGATATTGTAGTCACCATATAAATTGTTCTCTTGCTTCAGCTCTCTTGCTCTGCAATGGCTTACACAAATCTTCCCAAGTTTCTCTGAATCCATACCATGTTATTTCTTATAGCATAATAATGCTTCATCACATTCAGATACCATAATTTCTGAAATCATCCCTCAATTGATGTCACTCCCTTAGTTCACAACTCTTTGTGACAATAAAAAATGACCCCATCAATAGTATTGTATATACGGGTTCATATTTGTTTTTTTTAAACATTCACTAAGACACCCTCATACTGAAACATTTTTGTCCCATCTTTATGTGAGGATATGGAGGCAAAGAAACAAGTATAATTACTCATGGCCATACCATGAATCAACAGATGGAATAAAAATTCTAAACTCTTATCTAGCTCTGGAGATAACAATGACTTTGGCACGGATGTTATTTTTAATATAAAAATAATACCGACTCCTGTATTTCCTCTGTAAACACTATTTTCTGGTATCTCACAGACATGAAAACTTTCATGTTAAATGAACAGTTCTCCACCTGGGCTGAAGATTTCTGGAAGCCCAGAAATCCACAGCCTCATCAAGGAGAGGTATTTGAATCTTTAGCTCCATCAACCTATGCAGCATGACTCAATGCAGAATTAAAATATGTATTACGATATAATGTATATAGGAAGGAAGCAAGCATTTATTAAGTGCCTACTACATGCCAGGCTATGCTAAGTGCCTAACAAATATGATCTCTTTTGATCTTCACAACCTTGGGAGGTAGGTGCTGTTATTGTCCCCATTTTACAGTTGAGGAAACTGAGGCAGAAGGAGGTGAGGTGACTTGCTCTCCCAGTTGACACACAGGTAGTAACTGTCTGAGGTCAAATTTGAATTCTGGTCTCCCTGACTTCAGGCCCAGCGCTCTACCCACCAGGCTACCTTCCCACCTCTACATAGAGGGGTTGTGATGAACGCTACCACATAGGTGATGTTGTGATCATGTAAAAGCATCATGGAATTTGGCAGTGTGATGCGTTCAGGCTCCCTAGCCCAACTCCCCTTCTCCCCAATGAGTCTCAGCTCCCAGAGCAAGGCTGTACCTCCCCCTAAGAGTTCTAGGGGCACTCCTGGGGACCTGGGGGTCTTTCGCTAAAACGACCAGTTCTACCTTCATCAGTGTTTCTCCCCAATATTATCCCTTGAGAATCGATTCAGTCAGCCAGCCACAAATACCTTTTAGAGAGGAATGTTTCCTAAGGGGGTACAGTGAGAACACGTGACAAAAATATTGCCCCAATATCTGTGACACACTCTCCTCCCATAAAGACACACAAAGGCCCAGGGAAAGTGGGCTCAAGCTGAGAGAGAGAATGGGGAGGATGGGAGCTGACTGAGCAAATCAATCACCTCAGCCTTAAGCAGCATTTCTGGCAATAGGTATTTTCCTAAATAAACTCATATCACCAGTGTAACTATTATCAACCAGAATTTTAGCACCTGCAAGTGAGTTTTTTGTTTTGTGTCTGTATCCTCAACACCAAGCATAGGGCTTTGCACGTGGTGGATTCTGAATAAATGCTTTTTGGACTTGAGGAAAAGAGGAAGGGAGAAGTACTGTGGACTAAGCCTGAAGTTGGCTTAATCCAGCAGGCTCAAGGTTTTAATTTCTTTTATTTAAAATACAATAGGCACTTGTGAACCGTAAAAGAACACTTAAAACTGCTTTAACAACTGAAATTTAACAACATAGGATATAAGAATGAAAAGGGTGTAAAAAAAACTTGTCCAAAATTCACCTGCTCATCATTTCTTATAGTACAATAGTATTCCATTACATTCATACACTTAACCAGTCACATATGAATGTAATGGAATACTACTGTTCCATAAGAAATGATGAGCAGGCAGATTTCAGAAAAATCTGGAAAGACTTACAAGAACTGATGCTGAGTGAAGTGAGCAGAACCAGGAGAACATGGTACACAACAACAGCAACGTTGTGGGATGACTGACTTGGATAGACTTGGCTCTTCTCAGCAATGCAAGGCTCTAAGACAATTCCAAAAGACTCGCGATGGAAAATGCCATCCACACCCAGAGAAAGAACTATGGAGTCTGAATGCAGACGGAAGCTGACTATTTTTTCTTTCTCGTGGTTCTTCCCTTTTGTTCTGATTCTTCTTTCACAAGATGACTGATGTGGAAATATGTTTAACGTGATTGTACATGTATAATCTACATAAGATTGCTTGCCATCTTGGGAAGGGGAGGGGAGAGAGGGAGAAAAAAATTTGGAACTCAAATCTTATAAAAGTGAATGTTGAAAACTATCTTTACATGTCATTGGAAAAAAATAAAATACTATAAAGTGGGGAAAAAAATAAAAATGAAAGGAAATAAAGTAAATAAATAATCCTTCCTAGTCAAAAAAATATTTCCGACAACTTTCCAACCCCTAGGCCAATCCTTTTATAATTCAGAGCACCAGGAGCAGCTGAGCCATTGGGCAGGGCAGGATAGGCAGTGGATAAAAGAGCTTTAACAACCCACCAAAGGGTCCACTACAAGAAAGGTTTTGACACTAAGAATGAGAAATCCTCTTCTTTATTTCTATTCTCTTTCTTTAGGGGCCTCTCCTCTTGTCCATCCTTCAGACAGCTGCAGATGGCTACTACCCGGCCATTCCCTGACGGCTACAGCAGGCCCCTTTCTCATCACTCTGGTTTGTCACAGCCTTTTGTGACATTAGCCCCACTGGGCTTGGAAAAGCCCCCTAAGGATGGTACTACTGCCATGCAATTGCACTCCTCATGTCTAGCTGACGTAACTCACGCGACAAACTTGTGACCCATTCCAGTGGAGAATGACACCAAGCCCCGGTGTCAGGCACTTACCTCCCCATGCTGAGGCGATCAGCAGGAGTAATCAAACCAAGGGGCTTGGTCTCACTGTTACAAAATCAGCTGGGTCCCCACAGAGCCAAAGCCTTCCGGTTCCTGGAGACGAGACAGGTGACACAGTCAGAGCCCCTTTCCACACCCCTGATTACCTATTTGCCACAATTCATGATAAGGTGTCTGGAGCAGCCCACTGCTGACTGGGTCACAGCCCCAGGCAGAGGCGCAGCCCGCAGAGATGTGCAGGGAAAGGATAGAACCTTCCAGGACCTAGTTTGCTGTGTCCTAACCCAAAGAATTTTGAACAACAGGTAATCGGAAGGTGATTCAAAGGGGCACAAAGTGCTGGGCCTGGGCTCAGGAAGACTTGAGATAGCCACTCAGATACTTGGTGGCTGTGTGGCCCTGGGCAAATCCCTTAGCCACTGACTGCCTCAGTTTCCTCATCTGTAAAATGGGGGATATATAATAGCACCTACGTCCCAGGGTGGTTGTGAGAATCAAATGAGATAATAATTGTAAAGCACTTAGCACAGTGCCCGGCACATAAGAAGTGCCGTGCAAATGTTAGTTATTCTTATTATTGTTATTGTTATTGGCAGCTGTTTAGAAAGCTAGACAAGGACATCGTTCAAAGCATCAGAATACCTTGTTACTGAAACTGAAGGGAGAGTTTAGGGAGGAAGAATATTTATCTCAAATTCAGAAAAAAAAATCAAGAGACACAAGTTGGTCTTAGGCACTCATGACAGATGAAAAAAATTCCCACCGATCAGTTAGTGCACTTACTATTAATCCACTAACCATACCGATACACCATGAAACCTAATACGCAGGATCCAGTGGTCGGCTCTCAACTCAAGGAAAACTGTGCTGATTGTGCTGCTACTTAACTTAACCTAAGTGTGTTTCCAACAATAGCCATATCTGACTGACTGCTGCCAGCGCCGGCCACTGGTGCCCAATGCACCTTGCAGGTACAGCAGAGGAAGGCTATCTGTAAAAGCACAGAAAGAGATAACCAGTCCTAACACAGTATCTGGCATTCCTAAGTCAGTAGATCATGATTATTATACCGTGTTATATCATACTGTGCATTAGTACTGTGCTAACCACGAAACACCCCACTTGGGAGCACAGTGAAAGTCACAGTCAAACTGCTCCCCAAGAAAGCAAAGCCCATTTCTGATGTCTGTATCCTCAGCACCAGACGAGAGTTAGTAAGTCACAAAAGAAAATGTGACAGATCCATGCTCAGGGTGACAATCTACGTGTCAGGCAAGGCTGACATTTAAGAAATCAAATCACAAGCAATGATAAGCACATGCTAAGTGCCAGGCACTGTGCTAGTTGCTGGGGATGCTTAATCAAAAACAATGAAACAATCTGCTCTCAACCATAGAACAGCATGGACAGAGAAAAGCAGATGCAAGATCAATAGATCCAGAATGCACCTGGTAACTGGAGGGAGGTGTAAGCAGCTGTGGGGATCTGGAAAGGCTTCAAGGAGAAGGTAGGTCTTGGGCTGAGTCCTGAAGAGTGACTCTGTGAGGTGGAGGGAAGGAAGGAGTGCATTCCAGGTAGGGTGGGGACCAGGACAAGGGCATGGAGACAAGAGCTGGAGTGCTTTGGAGGAGTAGCTGAGAGAAGGACGGAGCTCCATGTATAATGAGAAGAAAAGCTAGGGTGAGACCAGACTGTGATGAGGTGGAAAAGCCAAACAGAAGGGTTTGTTCGTTTACATGTTAACCTGGAGGCAATGGGGACCCGGGGGAGCTTTCTGAGTAGACAGAGACTGCCCAGGTGTAGCAACAAAACCCCCAGTGCCATCACTTTGTGAGTCAGACCACTAAGGAGAAGGCGTCCATCTCCCCTACCTGTCTGACCTCCAAGACAGAGTGGCAGTACATGACTAAGCCTATAGCCAAATCTTGCATCTCCTGTTTGTCTTGGGAAAACTGGCCCCCTTCACTGTGCCACTTCAAACTCAGGATACCCAGACTCAACTCTTCTCGGTCCCTCCACCACACTTGCAGAAGGCAGCACCATTCTCTACTAGAGCACAGTTCTATCTCTACAGCCCCCACAGAGGTGCAGGCCATTGTTTTCACTAAGAGTCTCCTAGGTGCTGGTCACCCTATGCCCTGTCATCGATGTGCACACCACAGCTAGGTGCATCTTCCTAGAACATTTCCATCATCACATGATTCACCAGCTCGAGAACCTGAAACGACTCCTTAATGCTTACGGGACAGAGCTAAGTTTATTCACTCGGCATCCAAAGCCTTCCCAATTGGCCTGTTTTTCTCTCTTCCTGCTACTGTCCTATGCCACAGGGAGGCCACATTCCTTACCACCTCCCATGCATGCCCTTCTCCCTTTAGTAAACACTATTCTCTTGAATCTAAAATGCCACCATTACCCTGCCTCCTCCTTCCCTTCTGCCAGCCCAATCCTACACTTCCTTCAAGGTCCAGATCAATATTTACCTCTCCCAACAAATCATTTCTGAACAATTCATCTTATAATCATCTTTAATTTCTCTGCTATTTTTGTTTAATCTGTGCTGCAAGTCCACATACATGATGTGACCTAAGAGTTGCCTTGTTACATTCTTTTACTAATTAAACAATACTGACAAGCGTCATGTCTTTTCCTAATAGTAAGTACTCACAACTATGTGGTACTTTAGGGTTTAAAGCTGTAACCTGAGGTCCAAAGAGGTTCACCCCGGCTCTTGGGCCTGGCCTCCAGTGCAGCATTTGTTATCTGTTTTACTTGTTTTGTGACTCTCACCACAGGGACCCCAGGGGTGCGTATACCTTCTAGAACAGGTGCTCCATAACTTCTTGCTGAATTAAACAACAAGCATGTGGTTTCCCATATAGTAATCTGCACATGGTTAACTACCTAAGAGGCATGTGAATACAAAATCAGGCATCTTCAGAAAATCCCATTTCATTTTATAATTCCGTCAATTTAATAATAAATGACAATGACAGAGAAAATCCAAGATAGAACAGACATGATCCTTTCAAAGTTTTTCAAGGCTGAAAAATTTTTACTTTCCTTAAATTAAGCAAAGTACATTGAAAGACGACAATGTGAGATGAAACAAGAATTGAGATTCTTAAAAAGGGAATATGTTAATAACCTCCAGATTATCTTCTAACATGGAAATTTCTTAATTACAAAACTTTTCCTTTCAAAACACTTTCACTGTACAGTATTCTGCACTCTGCAATTTCAATCAGTTCTAATATGCCAAAAAGAAACCTGTGGCCATTAAGCACAACAAAAACATTCCTTAAATCCTCAATTTCTATTATGGCTTTCATACTTTAAAAAATGATTTTTATATGAACTTGTAACAAAAATCCTACCTCCACACCTGCAAAAAATCAGGAGATGCTAGGCTAAAGTCAACAATCTTCTCAGTTGTGCTGTGAACATTTTCAACCATCACTTCCTCCTCTGGGCTCTCCCTGTGCCAGACATGCCAACGTGTAAGAGAAAGGGAAGATCCAGGCAGTGGTGACATCATCTGGCTGCCCAGGGTAGAAAGCCAGCAGCCAAGGGAGGCAAGAGCTGGTAGTATGGACAAAGATTTGTCCTACCAGGGGCAGCGTGGGTCTGGTGAGCCAGCCAGGGTTGTGTCCGGCTTTGTGGCAGTGCAGAAAGCAAGGTCATCCTGGTGTAAGGAAGAGGCTTGGACTGGAAGTCAGGAGACCAGGGTTCTGGTACCAGCTTTGTCATCAAATGTGGAAACTTTCCTCTCCCTTCTGGGTAACAGTTTTCTTAGCTGGAAAATAAGGTGGCTTGGATTATATGACCTGTAAGCTTATTCCCTTCAGATGAAGCAGCATGGAGTAATGGGAAAAGGCAAGGAGGCACATTTTTTAAGGCAGTTTGCTAAGGGCTTCAAATAAAGAGATAAACATGAAAAGGTGCCTGGGCTGGAAAAGTTACACCTCCCTGGGGACAATATAAAGCCTGTAAGTACAAATACCTCAGGAGAGGGAAGGGCACTAATAAAGAGCAGGAAAGGGCACCTGAGCTATGCTTTGAAGGCAAAGCCAGGGGCATCGAGGCAGCAGCAGGAAGAGGGCCACATTCTGCACAGGAGCACCAGCCTGTGCACAGGCCAGGAGGGAGGAGAAGGAATGCCAGGCACGCTAAGAATGCAGAGTACAAGAAACCTCTGTCCTTTCAAAATCTATTTGAAGACTGCATCTTGGACAGTGATGCAAAGCAATAAAGTCATATTATTTAATAACTGTAAAACAGGTGGGAGGGAGCCAGCCCATGCAGGTACTTAGACACCAAGCTGAGGATTTGGGATTCGAAAATAGAGGCACCCGGGAGCTAGTGAAGATTTCTGAACAGAAAGGCACAGTCAGCACTGCACTTCCAAAGCAGCAATCCAGCATCTGCCTGGTGGATGCACTATATGTAGAAGGGAGAATGGAAGTAAGGAGACCTGTTAGGAAACAATCAAAACTGTCCACCCTCACCAGAGGTGAAGGATGCCTGAATGAGGGTGGTGGCTGTGTCAATGGAAAAAAAAATGACAAATGCAGGGGACTTTGTGATCAACCCAACTTGACAACTAAATGTTGACGCAGGGGGAAGGAGCAGGAGGAGTCATGGATGACGTCAATGCCGCAAGCCTTGGAAACTGGAAAGATGATGGTGCCCTTGGCAGGACAGGGAAGTCTAGAAACGGTGAGACGTTGTAGGGAAACATGAAGTCCGTTTCCGACATTCTGAATCTGAGATACCTCTGGGGCATTTAAGCGAAGGTACTGGGCAGGCAGGTGGCACTATGAGACTAGTTCCCAAGGAGGATTAGGGCTAGGTACACAGATCTGGGAGTCATCTGCGTAAAGATGACAGCTTAACTCCTAGAAGCTGACAAGACCAAGGGCATGAGTCCAGAGAGAGAAAGCCACGCTTAACCAGTGGGAGAAGGATGACCATCAAGGAAAGGAGACCGCGGCACATTCAAACAAGAGGTGGGGGGGGACAAGACAGAGAAACATCACAGAAGCAAGAGAGAACAAAGTCACCGGGCAGAAAGAGTGGCCAACAGCGTCACACTTCAAAGGCCAAAGGGTATGAAGACTGAGCAGTCTACTGCTTTTAGCTGGTAAAATATAGCTGGTCACCTGGGAGAGCAGTTTGAGCCCCGACTCACCACAAATTTGACAGAATCACGTTAACTCTTCTGGGTCAGTTTCCTCATCTGTAAAATGAGGGGGCTGGAGCAGAATTCTAAATGTGCTACCAGCTCTTACCTTCTGTGATTCCAAATAATAGGATTTTACTTTTTTTTTTTTAGGTTATACATGTGCTATTATGTAAAACATTTCCACATCAGTCATTTCATACATGACTTGAATAAAAGAAAAATAATGAAAGAAAGTGAAAAATCGCCTGCTTCAGTCTGCATTCAGTCAATACCAGGACTTTACTTTCTATTACTTGCCAAGTCTCTGTTTATTGGAAGAATCACCAGTCTTTCAATGAAAAGATCTGAGTTGGAGGCTGAGCATTCATAGGAGCTGTGTGAACCTGAGTGTAGTCTAACCTCCCCGAGCCTCACGCCAGCCATGATTACTACTATTATTTGTTCATGTATGAAATGGGGAAAATAACACTAACACTGCTGTCTCACAGGGCTGTTGTAAGGAAAGTGCCCTGTAAACAAACGGGAGTTACTATTATTTTAGAAAAACCAAGGGAAATGGATTCCTTGAAGCTACCCTAGAGCTGGAAAACATAATAATCCCTACACTGTTATGGAGTCATCGGGGAGGAAATTCTTTTTTAAATCTTAACGTGTTAAAAACATATTACAATACCATGACGTCTCTCCATTGTATATGCATTTTTAATAACTGCTGGCTATTAAATTTCCTCTGGCAAAGAAAGTCTTTCACTAGGGAACATCCTTCTCCCTCGGCTCTTTACTTAGCAGGGGCAGCCTGTGGTGCAGTCGTCTGGAGACAGAGAGACGCATCCTCCCGAGTGGCCCCAGACACTGACTAGTTATGTGACCCTGGGCAAGTCAAGTAACCCTGTTTCCTCAGTTCCCTCATCTGCAAAACGAGCAAATGCTTGGGGAACTGAAATGTTCTCATCTGTAAAACGAGGACATTGGATTAAACGATCCCTCCAGTCTTACTGCACCGCAGGAGGACGGCGGATGGAGAACAGGCCTAGGAGTCGGGAAGCCCTGGGTTCAAGTTCTGACGGACACACACCAGTTAAGTGAGCAGGGCCCTCCTCCCTCGATATTGGCTCCGCGACTAGGAAACTGCCCGATCCCATCGGGGAGTTCCTGGGAGACCCCGGGGAAGCCATGCAACCTCGCAGGCTCTCAGCTTCCTCATCTGCAAAATGGGGGTGATGACAATACCTGCGGGACCTACCTCAACAGGGCCCCTAAGAAGGAAACACTTCCCTAACCTAAGCAGGGGGGCGGTGGCCGGCGTGCCGGATTTAGAGCCAAAGAGACCCGAGTTCAAATTCCGCTGCGGCCCGGCCAAGCGCTCCCCACGCCCCCAGGCTCAGCTTCCCGCCCTCCCCGGGTGGGACGTGCTCAGGGGGCTGGTCTCGGGCCGGTCCTGGCCGCGGGGCTGGGAGAGGGCCGGGGCCGGCCAGGCCACAAAGCCGGGGAGGGGGGGACAACCCCGACAACGACTGCAGCGCCCCGGGAAGGCGGCCTCCCGGGCGGGCCGGACCGCGCCGAGCCCCGCAGGCCCCCGGGCTCCTGACAGACCGACGGACGGACGGACGTTACTCCGCAGCCCCCTCCCGGCCCGCCCGCCCGCGGCCTCACCTGCAGGGCCGCCCCTCCTCCGCCGCCGCGGCAGGGCCCCCGGGAGCAGGGCGCAGCAGGCCGGCGCATCTCGGCCCCGGGCGGCTCCCAGGGCAGCGCCGGGACCCGCCTCCCGCCCGCGGCTGCGCTTCCGGAGCCGGCGCCTCGCTCCTCCGCTCCGCAGGAGACAGCCGCGGGCGAAGGCGGCCTCGGCTCGGCGTCGGAGCTACGTCACGGCGCAGCACGCGCGCACGCACGTAAGTAAGCGAGGGGCGGGGCCAAGGAGGTGCGCGGCCGCGGGATTGGGAGGGAACGCGGCTGTCTGGAGGCGGAGAGCTGTGGGGGGCGGGGCCGCCGGAGGGGGGCGGGACACTTGCCTGGTGGGCGGAGCCTAGAGGTAATAGGGGCGGGCCTCGGGCGTCCTCTGCAACGTGGGCTCTGCTGGTGCTGCCCTGTGGCGAGCATTGTTCTAGAGCGCAGAATGACAGGCTCCCTGGAGAGCCAGCGTGGCGTGGGAGATGGAGGCCAGCAAGGTGACCTTGGGCTAGTCACTAGTGCCTAGGCAGAGGAGCGGAAGCTGATCCGCGTTGGAGGAGGACGTCTCCATGCCGGGGGGTTTCCACCCCAAACCCCACAGCTTTGACCCTTTAAAAATAAAAGGGTAGTGAGAGCCCGCGGAGCAAATAATGGTCTATTGGATAGACCTGGTTACCAGGGGATTTGCAATCTGCAATGGAGGAGGGAGTTTTTTACACCAAACCTCAGTTTGATCGCGTAAAAAAGAGCCACCAGCGTTCCCGATAATCCACAGGCTTTCTAGCCATGGGGTCTAGCCCTTTGTTTAACTGATAGGAAAGGGAGGACCAGAGTCACAGAATGGGAGACAGTATTTGAATCCAAGTCCTCTGACTAGATGGCCTCTAAGGTGACGGGCATAGTGCCTGGCACTTAGCAGACGCTTTATAAATGTTTATTGACTGACTATTACGAGGGGTGTGTATGTGCTGTAAGCTTTGTATGTATACATGGGTCTCTCTAGAGCCACAAAGACATATCCCTTCCATCCACCCTTCTGCAGAAGGAGACTGATTCCTGCTGGTCTGGACAACCTCTGGCTCCAACACTCCCAAGCAGGAGGTTGGGGCAGAGAGATGGAATAATATCTGTCCGCCTCACCTCAATATCATTAGTCTAGGGGTTCAAGCCAAGGTCCAAATAGCAACCCCTTCCACTGGCAAAGTGTCACAAAGACTCCACGAAGATTAGCAGCTAAAGACATGAACTCGTTTATCCAATCTGATAGCAAAGAGAAACCAGAAAAGTTAAACAATGAGAATACGCCTGACAATACATAGAGTGAAGGCGGTGAAACATCTTAGCTCAGCCAAGACAGAGTCTCAGCTCTCACCCATGGAGAGATTCCCTGAAGTCTACAATGAAGTGAGCAGAAGACTGAGACAGAATCAAGGGGAGGTTCCCCTACAAGTTGGCTTCTTCCCAGAGACTTTCCCTTCAGGGAGCTAAAGAGAGTCTGGAACCACTCTTTCTTAAATCTCAAAGCTGGGAAGACCAGTTAGGATCTTCTCTAGAACCCCTTCACTCCGCTCCTTATGCAGGTGTGGAGTATTGTCATCAATCTCCACCAATGAGAAGAGTCTTACACAAATGATCTTTGAGACAGGTTCAACTCTCCTTCTGTAAAACTGTAGGAGTCATCAACTGGGGAATGGCCCAACTGTAGCCTATGAAGATGGGTAAATATTATTAAACTGTGGGAATGGAGAAATATGAGGAATTGAAAGAAGCCTGGGAAAACTTATATGAATGGATGCAGAATAATGGGAGGGTAATACATGAGATGACCACCAAAATGTAAATAAAAGCAATGCTAACAAACTTAGATTAGCTGCAATCACCAATCTCATCCCAGAGAACAAATAATGAAGCATGCTTCCTCTTCTGAAGAAAGAAGTAGGAAGAATAGTGCAAAGGCTGTCAGACACAGTTGTTTCTGAGTCAGTCCTTCCTGTTTTGATGAAATGATCATGGTACAAAAAGGGACCGGACCCATGATGTCATTGGTTCAGGGGACTCCTGAGTGAAGAAACTCCCTCTATCAGGGAGTTCCAACTTCTGATTTTGGAGCATCTGCCTAAAAAAACAAAAGGCATCATAAAACTTTTAAGAAGACCAAGATGAACTGATTTCCTGTCATTTGTAAACAGTTTCTATATTTGTTATTATCATTTCCTGGTGTACCTCCCCGGAGGGCTGCTTAGCCACGGGACGCCTCGGACTGAGAATTCATCCCTTGAAGGCTGGGGTTCAGGGCTAGGCCTCAGTGCCTGTGTGGCACCCCCCCCCCACTGTAGCTAGACAGTCTGTCACCAGGCTTATAATTCCATCATGGTAGAACTTGCCAGAGCTTGTGGGGCTGAAGGGAGAGCCCACAGTCTAGACTATGTTACCATACCATGCTGAGGCATGGGGGTAAGGCTTAAAACTACCTAAAGGGCAGCTGTGTGTTGACTTTGGAGATCAGGGTAAGGGGGAAAACAAGACTTGCATTATTTATGGATGGATGACAACTAAGCTGGGCAGTGATGAAGGTAGGCAAGGAAGGAGAGGTGGTGGCCACAATAATCCCGGAGGGGACACTATTGAGTCAAGTCCCTGAAGAGGTTTCTGAAAAATTAGAGGAGTGTATGGGACGGGCGGGTCACCTGTTATCTGCCACAGGCATAACCAAGCAGGGTGGCCAGGACTGAGAGCCCTTGGACTTCTTCACCAAGTAGGAGAAACTGAACTGAGCATTTGCTGTGCAAGAATGATTCACTAAAATAGAAAGCAACCAGATATAATTCATGAAGTGCTCATATTGTTCAGATTTGCCATGAAAGTTCCCACTGGGCTGGAACCGAGGGCTATCTTTCACATAATTATAACTTCAGCAGTGTGAGTTAGACTACATGCCACCACCTGTCAGGATTCACTGTTTGATGGAGAAGGACAGGAGGGTTCCAGCAGCTAGTGGCATTGATAAGCTATTAGATCCATTAGATTGTAAGCTCCTGAGGGAAGGGACTGTCTTTTGCCTCTTTTTCTACCCCCACCCCCACCCCCCATCCCCACACTTGGCCCAGTGCTTGGCCCTAATAGGTGATTCATAAATGTTGATTGATTGATTGCAGGAAACAAATGTGTAGAGGTGATAGCATTTGCAGTACCAGTGGGACTCAGTGCCCTCTGCAGTCCCTTCCAGGAGGGATTTCAGGACCACGTTTATTTCCTTAGGCCTGAGGAGCGTCTGCAGGGATCGGCATGGTCAGTCACATCAGGGGTGCTGGCCAGTCAGCAGGTATTGAACCTCCAAATCTCACTTTCTGTTTTATCATCATTCTCAGTTACTTGGGAAGCCTCATTTTGCCTTCTCGGGGTTTGAGCTCGTGGCTGCTAGGAGCCCAACGTGGGCAGCCTCAGGCTTGGGCACCGTGAAGCCATCTGTCCTGGTTCTGGGGGCAGAAGCCAGGAGAACAGAGTCTGATCTGACTACAGAAGGGGGAACCCATTGGCCCACACCCAGTCCCATGAGCAAACTTGTTGTGAGGATGGCAGTTATTATGGCAACAAAAGTGATGCAGCCCACTGTGTTTGTATAACATGGGTCTGCATGGAGCGCTGAGCACTTTACCAGTGGTCTCAGTTTGGGGGCATCGAATTCCTGAGGCAGGGAGGGGGCCTGGGGAAGCTGTCCTGTTTTATAGGGGGGAGGAGTAGGGCTGAGGCTGGGGTAGAGAGACCTGTACAGAAGGACAGCAGAGTCTTCCAAGCACCCACCCTGCCTTCACTTTGCTAGAATTCCAGTTTGTCTGGAAAAAAGAGCTAACAAGCCATATTTGAAGGTCTCAAATCAGGAGATGGGAGTTTGTCCATAGGTTCACAGGCCTAGGGCTAGGAAAACCTTGATAGTGGATGCCTAGTTCAGTCCACTTTACAGATGGGGAAACTGAGGACCAGACAAGTGAAGTAACTGACTCGCAGTCACCCAGCAGTCAGTGGCAGTCGGGGCTCCAACCCACATCTTCTGATTCCAGATTCAGCATCTTTCATGCTGCTGGCCCTAGCTCCACCCCTGCTTTGTGGTGTGATCTGGAGCATCCCCCTCTCTGGGCCTCAGTTTTTCCATCTATACGTTGAGGGGGTTAGACTAGAATAGGTTCTTTTTTTTTTTTTAGGCAATTGGGGTTAAGTGACTTGCCTAGGGTCACACAGCTAGTAAGTGTCAAGTGTTTGGTCTGAGGCCAGATTTGAACTCAGGTCCTCCTGACTTCAGGGCAGGTGCTCTATCCACTGCACCACCTAGCTGCCCCTAGAATAGGGTCTTTTATCCAGAGGTTTGGGGGGGGGTCTATAAATAGATTTCAGGAGCTTGGTAAACTCAATGGAAAAAAATCTGTATTTTCAATAACCTCTAACAGAAATTTAGCATTGCTTTCAATTATTTAAAAACATTCTCTTGAGAAGGGGGCTATCAACTTCTCCCAAATGCTGCTCAAAGGGGTCCAGGACACAGGCAAGGTTAAGGACCCCACGACCAGATGATTTAACAAGGTCTATTCCTATGAGTCAGCCTGGAAAAGGCACTGAGCAACTGAGTCAGAGGACCTGGGTTCAAATCCCAACTCTTCTGCTTGTTTCCTGTATGACATTGGGTTAGTCCATTCCCTCTCTAATAGATGTTGCAGTGTTCAGAGCACTGGACATGGAGCCAGGAAACCTCAGTGCAAATCTGGCCTCAGATGCTTACCAGTTGTGTGACCCTGGGCAAGTCACTTAACCATATGTGCAAAGTGAGGATCATCATGGCACCTGCCCCTAGTCTTGTTGTGAGGGGGCACAATGAGGTAATATTTACAAACCTTAAAGTGCTGTATAAACACTATTTATCATCACTGTCATTATTAGCATTCCTGTGTAAGATTGTCTGAGTGGACTAGAGCCTTCTAGAGTCTCTCTCTTCTGACTCCAATATTCTCTGATTTGATGACTAGTTAACTCTATATTCATTCGTGCATTTATTCGTTGAGCTGTCTATCTATGGCCCTTCCAAC